AATCTCGCTTTGACAAACAAAATGATTAGAAATGAGATCCTGCTACATACAAAGACCAGGGGAAGTAGAGTGAATGTATAATTATATCATAGAGTTTTCATGTGCTTTATTTAAGCTTAATATACGACACGCACATAACCCAGGTGAAGTAAAGTTAGCCTGGAGCTATGTGCTAGTGCCGAAACTCCGCTCACACGACTGTTATTTGACTTCATTAGAGAATAATTAACGCAATGATCTCATTAGCCATCGCATGACGTCAGAAACCGGATCATATTTTTTTTCTTAATCGAACCGGTCACGGTTTCCGGTTGCTGTTTTTGTCGCCGCGGTTGTTGTTGTAGTTCAACTTTTAACCATTCCGGCTGGTTTTTTTTTGTTTTTGTTTTTTTGTTGTTTTTTTTTGTCCCCCGCGCGCAGCCAATTAAGTGACGTCACTGAGCATTAACGACCCTTGCGACTAAGACATAAAAAAAACCACCAAGGGAAAGAACTCGGTCTTTGATTCGATAATATTTGATTTTAAAATTTTTAAGCGTTTTGAGTAGGCGTGGGAAAGTGGGATTAAGGGGTGTGAAATGAATCGTAAAGAAAATATGATAAAACAAAAGACGGCCAATTAGCGAAGAAAGTACATCATTGAATTAACACAAAGGTGGGGAGATTTGATGGCTATTAAGGTAGAGTAGGAAAGTATACGAGAAAGGAAGTATACTTTTGTTGAAATTATACTTATATTGAATTGTTATGTAGCCTATTTTATTAGAAAATGTCGGAGTAAAATACATATGGCGCATAAGATGTTGACACGTGATACTTAATTGTGTTGGAGGATGTATTGTCCAGAGTTTTTGTTAAAATTATACTTATATTGAATTATTATGTAGTCTTTTTTAATTAGAAAATGCAGTAGCGTAGCAAGGGGGGGGGGGCATATGTCCCCGGGCGCCGACCTTAGGTGGCGCCAAAATGGGTTGGAAAAATAAATTGAAAGGTTGAGGGGGGTGCAAATGGAAAGTATGAGGAGGGGGGGGGGGTGCAAATCGAAAAGTTTGTCCCCCGGTCGGGACGCTACGCCTCTGAGAAAATGTCGGAGTAGAAGAATATGGCGCATACGAGGTTGACACGTGATACTTAATTGTGTTGGAGGATATCTTGTCCAGAGAAAGTCTACCACCCCCCCCCCCCCCCGGAAAATGTTGACCCCCCCCCCCCCCCCCAAATATGAAGTGCCCCCCGCAGAAAAAAGTCTGGAAGAAACACTGATATTGTCCCACAATACAATTAAAAACGAAAAAGATTAGAAAATTAACGGAGTTAAAATATGTTGAACTCTACTTGATTTGGAAGTATAGAAAATAAAAGATTACATTTATTGACAGTATACTTTAGTTGAAAGTATAATTTTTTGGATATATGCACGTACGAGACGAGATTCAGAAGTATAGGAAAATTGAAGTGTACATTTATTGACAGTATACTTTAGCTGAAAGTATACTTTTTTGGATATATGCATGTACGAGATTCAGAAATATAGGAAAATTAAAGTGTACATTTATTGACAGTAAACTGTAGTTGAAAGTATACTTTTTTGGATATATGCATGTACGAGATTCAGAAATATAGGAAAATTAAAGTGTACATTTATTGACAGTATACTTCAGATGAAAGAATACTTTTCTGGATGTGTGAGCACTACCTATCGATAATAAGATATTAATGACGGTGTATATTTGAATGTATGCTATATTAGAGTGTAGGGGCCTACAACTAATCCCCGAAAGACACTTGCCCGAATGCCGTTTGCTAGAAGGCCGATTTCCCGAATGGGAAATCGGCCTTCGGGCAAGTGTCTGTTGGAAAAACGTCCGGCTCCCGAGTGAAGATATGTACCTACAGGTTTACGTAAATTATGCTTACACGAAAGTATACGTATATTGGTAGTATATTTAAATCATACTGCCTCCCACCAATACAACCCCCACCCTAACACTCAAACCTAATACAGTAACCCCAGTCCCACCACCCGTTCCAATATCAACAAACCCTCGCCACCATATCCCCACCCCTCAAAGGTAACCTCCATATCACCGAACTACTCTTCCACTTCAACCCCACTCCACATTACACAATTACCCCCCCCCCCCACACACACACACACAACCCACTCCCTTACCCAACCACCAATATTCACCCTTTTTTTATGCTTGGGATCCAATTTGCAAAATTTGAAAAACACAAACTCAATATTCCGTCAAATCTGGACAAACTCCTCGCCGCGTAATCAAAATTCTGGGGAAAATTAAATGAGAATCAATTCAGCGGCCGCGTCCACGACGGCCCTGCACGCTGATTTGATTTCATCAGCACATGTTTTCTACTTGATACACGAGAACCTACATGCTATGTGGGGTGGGGGGGGGGGGGAGCCGCGAGAGATGGTAGGGGTAAACTATGTGTTCTGATTTAATGCATTACATAGTAAATCTTAATTCTTTATTGCTTGAAATAAGAAGTCGTTTTTTGGTAAAAACCTGTTTAATACACAGACACAGACACACACATATAAGCCTATACACACACACACACACACACATATATATATATATATATATATATATATATATATATATATATATATATATATATATATATATAAACACCAATAAGCCTTCATTATAACAAATTTTCTTTATATGCTGATAATAGGTGACATGTTTATACTATATCAGTACGTGTCTGATCATTTTCTCAAGATAGTCTCTGACAGATACATTCAGATATTAAAGACTATATCTTTATCAATCCCTGTGTACACTAAAACAATCCACGGAGATTTTTGATACAATAATCTGCGGTGGTGTTAAAAATAGATGATGGAAACTTGATTTTTTTTACGTAATCAAATAGAAAGATATATGATGAGTTTTGTCTGAGATATTGCTACCGAGATATATTTTCTGAGATATTTTTCTATGGTATTATGCTTCAGATATTTTGTCTTATATTATGTCTTAGATGATTTGTCTTCGATATTTTTTCTTAGACATTTTGCTTTAGATATTTTCTCCGAGATACTTTGTTTTAGATATTTTCTCTAAGATATTTTTGTTTTAAATATTTTTTCCCAGATATTTGGTCCTATTCATTTTTAATATAATTTATCTGCGATATTTTATCTAAGATATTTTGTCTAAGATGTTTTGTCCGATATATTTTTGTGACGTTTTACGGTAATTACCCTAATTAAAACCCCCACTGATTTAGCTTAGTTAGTAAACTGAAACCATCAGAGCTGTTTATATAAACAGAAAACGGAGTAACGAAATTAAAGATGAACGTGTTAATAATTCAGCAGATGACAGCTTTTGACGTCCTTTGAGACAGGGAGATAATTAGTTAAGATAAATGTACATTAGTGACTAATGACCTATGACGTCAGAACGGTTAATTATTTTTCTATGTCGCTTTAAATACATATTGGTAAATAATTATTCTGTTTGATACTAATCTTAGATTAATTATTCTGTTTGATACTAATCTTAGATAATCTCTTACTATGTATCGTAATCCTTTTCCACACCCTAAACCTAAAATAATTAAAGCAGAAAGAATGATAGTGAAGTTCGGGTATGCTCATTTCATCTTTTTCGTATAATTGTAAATAACAGTGATGATGTGGATTGCAGTTCGAATTAAATCGGGCTAAATAAATAGTAGGTTAGTTTGTGAAAACGCGCTCGATTTTTTTTCGAGAAAACTTAGACCTAAATTTCTTAGAATATGCTGCATTGAGATAATACGATAAAAACACATTTTAAATTCAAAAGCTTTTAAGTATACCGGAAATAGAGTAAAGTACAACTTCCGGTTACCGGAAATGTATAAATTCGTTCTCCAAACTGAAACATTACCCATGTGATCGTGTACACACAGATTGACAGACAGACAGACAGACAGACAGACAGGCAGGCAGGCACGCAGGCAGACAGGCAGGCAGGCAGGCAGGCAGACAGACAGACAGACAGACAGACAGACAGACAGACAGACAGACAGACAGACAGACAGACAGACAGACATACAGACATACAGACAGACAGACAGACAGACAGACAGACAGACAGACAGACAGACAGACAGACAGACAGACAGACAGACAGACAGACAGACAGACAGACAGACAGACAGACAGACAGACAGACAGACAGACGGACGGACGGACGGACGGACGGACGGACAGACAGACAGACAGACAGACAGACAGACAGACAGACAGACAGACAGACAGACAGACAGACAGACAGACAGACAGACGGACGGACGGACGGACGGACGGACGGACAGACAGACAGACAGACAGACAGATAGACAGACAGACAGACAGACAGACAGACAGACAGACAGAAAGGCAGGCAGGCAGGCAGACAGACAGACAGATAGACAGACAGACAGACTTACAGGTATGAAAGCAAATCGGAGTTTTCCAACTCAGGAAGGTGTATAACTGCGCTATTTGTTAAAAATCTCGATTTTTTTTTGTGTGTGTGAACAATTACAATACCTGACATATAGGCCTACTCCACAAAAAGAGAAGTAAAAATTTCTCGAGTATTAAAAGAAATATTTAAAAATCGGGGAGGTTATTTACAGTAGAGTCATGTACTAAAGGACAGTAGTCAAAGAGTCAAGATCTGTGGAATGGTCAAGGACTTGGGGGTAGAGTCACGGAGTCATTGTGTGATAGAGGGGGGTGGAGGCGCTGTTATTCTATAAAAAGGTTATACATAGCTATATTTCGGTAAGACTGAGGTAAAATTTCTAATTCTATGTTGTACATTTACAACACATTCTTCTTATGAAGTTATCGTATATTAAATATATATTATAAAATTTTAAGAAACATAAATAAATCATTTAATAATAACAGATTAATACATAAAGAAATGATAAATTAGAAAATTAATTATTATTTATGAAAAAAAAAATTGATGAAATTCTACCTGTATGTTACCGTGTGTCTGTCATTTGACCTAATTAATCAGATTAATTGGGCTAGAGTTGCAGGCAGAGAATTAGGTTTGTAAATGTACAGCTGGCCAATATAAGATAAGATCTAAGGGCCTAGGTAGAACAGGATATGGGAATGGGGCCAAGGAAGGTTTGAATAGTTCTTTTAATAGGTCAAATATTGACAAGCTATGAGGTAACACACGGTAGTGTGTAGGTGTGTGGGTAGGGTGGTGTGGTTGTGGTGGAACAGTTAATGACAGAGTGTGTAGGTAGGGTGGTGTGTGGTTAGGGTGGTGTGTAGTTGAGATAGTGTGTTGTTGGGGTAGTGTGTAGGTGGGGTGGGGTGGTGTGTAGGTGGGGTGGTGTGTAGGTGGGGTGGTGTGTTAATGAGGTAGTGTGTTGGTGAGGTGCTGTGTATGTAGATTGGTGTGTTGCTGTGGCTCGTAGAACTTCTGTTGACACGGCGGTGTGTCGTGGTGCTTGAACTATCAGCCCTCAGCTGTGCTACGTTTCATTCGGTAGGTGTGTGTTGGGGTGGGGTGTGAGTGTGGGGCGTCATTGAGATTAGTGGGGGGGGGGTAAGAGTGAAGTAGATTTACTTCTGTGTACTTCTGGCTGCCATTAAACACTGCAGCCAAACATTTCTGCAACTAGTTTTAGCTATAGAAAAACGACGTGTACTTTAAATACTATACTGTGTAGTACCACCTCGAACCTAGCCTTGATCTTTAGCATATCGTATTTTCACTAGGCTCCGTCTCAGCCGTACCCTAGCCTATCCCCACCCCTTCCTTAAATAGTAGCCAACTGACCCCTCTCCTGGTCCCTAGTCAAATCAAACATCACCACTATCCTACCCTATCAAACTGTACTCATTCAATAAAACAACCCATAGAAAATATAAGTTATATTTTACAATTTCTAATGTTAAAACTGCAGAATTACAAAGACATCAACGAGGCATCAACAATGCGTTAAAACACATCAGCCACCAATGAACAACATACTACAACACAACTCACCTTGCATCGACAACATATCATAACATCATCACCTTATCAACGCTGTATCACAACATATTGTTCACCTATCAACACTACAGCACGTCAAACAGAAATATTAAAAGAATCTTCCGAAAAAAAAAACAACCCACACACCACCATTGTTAGTGAGGTCAGCCAAGCGGAACACTTTAAATTGCAGCACCATCATCGATCAACTGTACCAGCATCTATCAACTTTAGATGGTGAAAACACACCCACTAAACGTGGAGACATTTTAGGTACATAAAAATACGAACCCAAAGTTAATATTTCTAGAGTAACCTATACCCAAAGGCGATGAAATATAAAAAATAGATACATAAAAAATAGACAGGGGCGTAGCGAGGGGGGGGGGGGGGGCGGGAGGTGCGGACCGCACCGGGTGACACCATTTAGGGGGGTGACACCAAGGTAAAAAATAGCAAAATATATAGAGAAAAACTCGAGGGGGGGGGGTGCAAATCGAAAGTTTGAGGGGGGGGGGGGGTGCAAATCGAAAGTTTGAGGGGGGGTGCAAATCGAAAATTTGAAAGTTTGTCCCCGGGAAGGGTCTCTATGCCTCTGGGAGGGAGGGGGGGGGGGGGTGACACCATTAAGTGCCGCACCGGGTGACACCCGACCTCGCTACGCCACTGAAAATAGATACATAATACATTGATTCATTTTTTACATCAACTTGGACCCATCACGATTAAAAGCACAATGCTAAGTTTCTTTTGTTATCTACACAAATTCTTGTCTTTTCTATTCGTCTAATTTAATCTCTTCGTAGAATTTCTTATTGTCTTATTTAAAATCTTACCTAAAAATATCACTTTCTGTTAATATTGCTATTTCAGTAACAAAGCCTGCTTTCATCCCCTCTATACCTAAAAGCTCGAGATTTCTATTTTAATTCATATCTAAAAACTCGAGATTTTTTTATTTTTTTAAAGTCTTATCTAAAAACTCGATTCGTCTATTAAAATGTTTATTTTAAAATCTCGAGTTGTTTGGTTTAAAATCTTCCCGTAACACTCAAGAAGACTAATTTAACGTTTAGCTTAAAAACTCAAGTAGTCTAATTTAGCATTTTGCTTAGAAACTCAAGTCTAATTTAAAGTGTTGCCTAAAACTTAAGTAGATCTAGTCTAATTTAAAGTGTTGCCAAAACTAAAGTAGATCTAGTCTAATTTTAAAGTCTTGCCAAAAACTAAAGTAGATCTAGTCTAGTTTAAAATCTTGCCTAAAAGCTCGAGTAGTCTATTAGAAAGTTTATTTTAAAATCTCGAGTTGTCTAATTTAAAACATTCACTATACTCTACAGACGCCTACTGTAAGTACACAACAACCTCCCCAGCAGGAAAATAAAATCAATGAAAATAATTTCTATCTAAATAAAGCAGGGATTTGACACAATCAGCTGTCATAAAAAATAGTTCTAAAAATAGTCTATATTCTTGGACAGTGGTTAAAAATCGTATAGAGACGTCGATAAATTTTAATGTGTGGGCCAGAGATTATGTGGTTTGAAGCGGTTTATATTACTTAGCGGAGATTTGTTGGAGGAATGGGGCGGTGCGGTTGAGTGGTAGCGTGTTCGATTGTGTATAGGGGGTTGCAGGTTCGAGTCCGTATTGCGTGCAAGATTCCGCCTAGATCTGACAGGAGTTAAGCTAATTAAGGCGTATGGCTTTCTCCAAATATATTTGAATTCATCGAGTTCACAAAAACAGGTGAGATCTGCTTCACCTGTCCAACGGATTATTGCACCCCAATTTAATAGAGGACCTATTGGAATAACAATAAATGTATCGAGGATACTGTACCAGTGTGATTGTTGGTACTTGATGCATGAGTTGTTTCCCTTACTAAAACAATTATTTAAATTGAGTTGTTTCCCTTTTTATGAATTTATTTTGAATGAGTTTCTTCCCTTTCTCTTAAATTATTTTTAATAGAGTTGTTTCCCATTCTATAAAATTATTTTGAATGAGTTGTTTCCATTTTTATAAAATTATTTTGGCATAACTGTCTTTTTTTTTTCACCAACAAAAGAGTCCGTCAGTCTAAATATACAGACGGATCAACGTCGTGTTGCCTGAGGGGGATATTTTTTTCTACTGGTTTCTCTGTAAGGGTTAAGGTTAAAACTAGAATAGGGACTAATATCATGGCTAAAGTTAATGACAAGACTAAAGTTGGTAATAATTAGGACAAAGGATAAAGCGATACTAGCAACACAAAAATATTTTCTAAAACTCTACCTTTTTCATAGAATTATCCTTAAATCAGTTTTTTTTAATATCTTACTAAAGTTCGAACCGCTATCTTGCCATTTTTTACCCATTTTTTTTAACTTTAGAAGCGGGACTCGAACCCGACCCCATTACAATCACAGCTACTCAAATTTTCAAGATTCGCGTCATATACACTCCCAAAAGCAATACATCAACTATTTAATTTCCTTTCCTTTCTTTTTGTTCTATTAAAATATACATTAATTCACACACTATTTTTTTTGCATTATAAAGACTTAATTATTACCAGCAGTATTTGAACCCACGTTTCAAGAAATTATTTCTATTTAAGTCACAATACGCGATAGAGAAGAAAATATAAATGGTGCATTTCGACGCGAACAGCTAATGAACAGGTCGATTCTAAACTTGTATCGGGAAATCCCAAAGATAACTCTAGATACAATTTTAAACGATGGGCTCTAGGCGTAGACAAGAGTTGTCGGTATTGGTGGCGACGAGTGCGAGGTCATGACTTCGTGAACTCTCGAGTACAAAACAAGGACGGTAAGCGGCGCTCAGGGGGAATAACTTGTGGAGCAAGTGACTCTTCATTAGTAGCGAATAGAAAAGATATTGCGAGGATATTGTGAAGTATCATGAGTAGAACATAAGCGAGAGGTCTTTGAAGGCCTTTATTCAAATGGAGGTTCAACAGAAATGTTGGTCGGGTTTTTATGACAGGTTCTAAATATCTATCATGGTGTCTCCACCTCTACCCTACCCCCCCCCCTTTTTTTTTTGGCTACCCCTCAGGTAAATGTAAACCCCTGGAGTCCAGCGGAATCGTAATGATGACATCGGACTGTGGTCCAGCAGGGGTCATAGTCTAATACCTGTTGGGTGGGACAATTTTAGTTCCGTTACTAATGGGACGGAGTGGTCTAGCGGTAGAGAGCTGGACTGCTAACCCGTAAGTCTCGAGTTCGAATCCGGGTTCAAGTCAGTAGACCGTCCCTGAGTCCACCCAACTCTGATGGGTACTTAACTCACATTAGGGAAAGTAAAGGCGGCTGGGCATAGTGCTGACCACACTATCTCTTCATGTGCCGAGGTCACAGAAACAAGTGAAATCTACTTCACTTGCCCCATAGACCGTCAGGTTTGAAAGGGAAACTTTTTTTTTTTTACTAATGAGGTATGCGCTTTTTTTTGGTGTGACGGTGCTTGCAAGTAAGTTAAGATTCCTCTTTAGATCCAGCGATCGATTTGGAAGATGAAGTAGAGTTTATATGTGGTCAGCACTGGTCTGGTTCTACGATCACAAATCCGAGCCGAGATCCGAACTCAAGACCATCAGGATAGCAGTCAAACGCGCTACCATTCGACCACGCCGTCCCACCTTTCAGAGTTTCTTCCAGGCATCTACCGCCCCCCCCCCCGAACGAGATGGAATTTATATAGTAAACATAAACTTTTACTAGTGTCCGCCCCTCCCCCTCGAAAATATCAAGTGCCCCCCCCTCCCCCCCCCCCCCCCCCCCCCCGGAGAAAAAAGTCTGGAAGAAACACTGCCACCTTTCAAGTCAGAAATGACAATTATTCTGGTTAAACAGTACTTATTCTCCACAGAGAATTTTTTGTGACTTGATCTGGCTTTGTGTTCAGATGGTTGTATGGTTTCGTGTGAAAGGTAATTGGTAAATCTACAAACGTATTCTTACACTGATTTTCGTTGAGTGTTGTCAGAAAGTCAGTTACTAAAAATCTCGCTATATCACATTTAGGGACCTCTTGTCTGGCAAGATATATACTAGACTTATACATTTTTTAATACGTTTTTTAT